TCCTTCATATATTAAAGACACCACTGATTTCTTAAGAAAATTAGAGAATATTAAACAACCACTTCCGGCAGGAACAATTCTTTTCTGTTTAGACGTGAAAGCTCTGTACCCAAGTGTCCCACGGGCAGAGGCACGAGATGCGGTTGCACGTGCATTAAATCAACGTGCCAACCCTAACATACCCACAGAAGATGTTCTTAATATGATGGACACTGTCCTTGAAAATAACACTATTTCATTTGATGGAAGAAAATTTACGCAGACAGAAGGAACAGCGATTGGCTCACGATTAGGGATGAATTACGCATCTACATATCTTGGATCATGGGAATCACAGCTGATGACGATAACAGATAAACTTCCGCTTGAGTATTTCCGGTATGTTGATGACGTTTGGGGCCTTTGGACTCACGGTATCGAGTCGTTAAAAACATTCCATGAGCTTGGGAATAACCTTCATCCAAGAATAAAATTAGAATTAAGATATTCAGCTGAAAAACTTGAGTTTCTCGACGTAATGACGAAGATTCAGAATGGCATTTTAATAACAGACCTATACACTAAACCCACAGATAAACACCTGTACTTGCATAAAAATTCGTCTCATCCGGAATCGACAAAAAAATCAATACCATATGGACTTGCCCTCCGTGCTAAGCGAATATGTACTAATGAATCGACTTACAAACAACATAGAGATAATATTAAAACTCAGTTACAGAAACGAGGCTATGAAGATCGACATATTGAAACAGAATTAAATAAAGTAGATAGTAAGAAAAGAAGTGACCTATTACAGTATAATGAAGATAAAGAAAACACTGAAAGAATCCCCTTGGTACTGACATTTTCCAGAGCGCTCCCGAATGTAGGACAAATAGTACGAAAACACCTACCTGAATTACACACCTCAGATAGAATGAAGGAAATATTCCCGAATCCACCAATTGCGGCATTTAGAAGAGATAATAATCTACAAGACATTCTCGTTCATAAGAAACACAATAAACTATTTTTTCAACAGCCGAATTCCTGTGCTCCTTGCAGATCCAAAAAGTGTGCGATTTGTCCGTACGTTATTGAAGCAGACACATTCATTGGTGTGAACGGGGCCTCGTATAAGGTTCGAAATCAGATCACTTGCAAATCTACGAATGTTGTGTATGCAGTTTATTGTAAGCGTTGCGAACGTTATATTTATGTTGGAGAAACAGGGGATACGTTGTACCAAAGACACCTTCTAAATTTATCCAGAATACGAACCAAGTACAACGATCCGTTAGCGGCGCATTTTTACACGAATGACCACACAGTTAAAGATTTTTCGATAATGGGGCTGGAAAAGCTATACGGGAATGACCAATACAGAAAAACAATAGAAAATTTGTGGAAAAATAAATTAAGAACCTATAGACCGTATGGAGTTAATACAAAAGAATAACGCGGCAGACGGCAACCAACGCCACGGCGGGCGTCGTTCATTGACGTTACGTCACTTCCATTGTTTTGTTTGATATATTTGTATGTGAAATAAATGCTGCTGAAGAAGGCCGCAAGGCCGAAAGCTACGGCAAATTTAAATTAGCGTTTTTGCTTCTATATATATATATATATATATATATATATATATATATATATATATATATATATATATATATATATATATATATAAAATTAACTTTTATATTATCATATATTGTTAGGATATATTGTGGTGTTATATGCATATATATATATATGTATATACATATAACACCACAATATATCCTAACAATATATGATAATATAAAAGTTAATTATGTATCTTTCTATTAAACTGAATTACAGCTAGAATTCATTCACACAATTATGTTACGTTTTAGCACGGATTTATCCGTGGTTTTCGATTGATAAAAGGGAGACGCTTAAATTAAAAACCCCACAGAGATAACCCATGGAATAATTTTTAAATGATCAATTGTGTATTTAGAATAAAGTTTTAAACTTACTTTTAATGTTGAAATTTAATAGTATTTCATAAATGATCAAGAAAAACTGTTTTTTCCGGGTTTTTTCACTTCCTCTTTTGGTTTTGAATGCTATTATAAAGGGAAATAACTTATGTCTTCTTCCTTACAGTTGTTAGGAAAATTGAATAATGTCCCTTTTAGATTTTTTGTTATATTCTGTCAATGCATTCTAAAAATACACTGATAATATAAGGCTTAATTTTGTATAAAATTATTTCTATTCAAATAATATAGAAAGTATTAAAACACCATTTTATTTTACAGATTATAGCATAAAATCGGCTATTTTTCACTCTTTTGCCCATGTTATAACGGGGCCAAAACCATGCGTTAACATAGTCACGCGCTCTTGTTATAGCCCAGTTTTACCTTTGCGCAATACATACAGGGCCCAGTAAAAAAACAAAAAATGACGATTTGGCCTGTTTGCCAGAGTCTTGTTATATTGGAATTATTAATTCGAGGGCCTCAGTCGCATAACGGCGAGCAGCATTCAAGTAATTATGCCGGCAATACGGCTTATAGACATCGCCGCTTATCTTGGTTGTCGCCCTTTCTTAGAAACGGACAGTTGTCAATGTAAACAAATAGAATCTGTCATTCAGTTTAATCCCCCGATTAACTTACAAAAAATGGAAAGCACAAAATGAATATAAGAAAACGTTGTTTTATTGACGTTTATATTGATAAATGTCCTGTATGTTTCTTTGAGAGAATAATGTTTTATACCTGATTTTTTTTTAACTTGCGTGATTAAAAAAAAACGATTCTGAATTTGAATCTGATGTCACTGATCTTTTTCCTACCGCCAATCTGTAATCACTCTAGGAATTTCTGAGGCGCCTGTTTTGTCTTGGGGAGAGTAATGTTATGTTTTTCTTAACTTAATATATCCCCAAAGTTAAACTTTGTTAAATCAATTAAAATTCGAAATTTCGTTCGGTTCTCAAGTTGTTGGCCCCGGAAAAAATAAAACGCATACGTAAAACATGTAGAGTTGGATAAATACCGTTCTGAAAGCACAAGGATTTTATGTTTGTGTTTTGTATATAATATACATCATGAATCTGTTTTAAAAATTTTATGCTATAATAGCGTCAACGCACGTTTATTTCGTGTTATAAAGTCTGCAGGGTCCCTCTGAACTGTTGGAGCCCTCGCCCTACCGGGCTCGGGCACCAACCGTTCCTCGGGACTCTGCAGACGTTATAACACGGAAAAACGTGCGTTAACCCTATAATAACATTATTTTATTATTTTAAGAATGAAACATGTTTATCAATCACTGTTAGTAATTTATACTCTTTTCAAGCATTATGCAGATTGAAAAAGTCATCATGATTTTTGGCCTAATTTGACAAGGAGTTAAATGGCTATTAGTCTCTCAGTGTAGATTCTTTAATCATTTGATAAGGTAGCCAGACACTTGTGGAGAAATTGGTAATTACTGGTTAGTTATCCAGAAAAGTCTTTAAGGTGGATTGACCTAGATGTGACCGAAAATGTGTTGCTGACTGCATTAAACAGGGTCATGCTATACACAGGGTACATACATTGAATATAAGAGAACAGTATTTCACCATATATACAGGGTACATATATATAAGACATTGTATGAGTGAAGGTTCAATACTGATTTTATTCAACAAGTTGAATACAATCATTAAATTCTGTAATGAACCCACACAAATATAACTATAATATATAATTCTATTTATCACATAACCAAAGTAAAGACCTTGAAAAAGAACCATTTTAGCTCAACTTTTTTATTGAAGAAAAAAATAAAATAAATAGACGTATTGTTACAGTCATCGCCGTTGCTGTTGCCGTTTCCGTCCGCAGTCTTGTACCTTGATCATAACTTTTTAAGTTATTTGTGTATTGTCTTTATACTTGGCCACAACAACCCTTAAGACAAGACTTTTCAGTAGACCAGACTAACCTTGACCTAAATCCATGAATAACCAAATTTTGCTGTTTTTTGTGTTTGTTTTTTTGCTATTAGTGGCTATAACTTTGTTGTTTTTTTTGTTTTTTGTATGTATTGTCTTTAAACTTGAACATAATAATCTTTTAGGAAAGCCCTTCAAGATAATCAGACAGACATTGACCTTCACTCATACATGTCCTTGACCTTGAAGGTCAAATTATTTAATCTCGATTTTTGCTGTATTGGGTTGTAACTTTCTTATTGTTGAATGGATTGACTTCATATTATAACATAACTTTCTTTATGATAAGACTTTAATGTATATCAAATCAACTTGACATTGGCTCTTTATGACCTTGACCTTGAAAGTTAAAGTTATGAATTATCTCTTTTTTTGTGCTATAATTGACTTTAACTTGGTAATTAATAAATGGATTTTCTTCATACTTTGAAAAACAACATTTTGGACAAGACTTTCTAAAAGGATGAACCGATCTTGAGCTTTAAATGACTTTGACTGTCCAAGTCAAAGTATTGAATTTTGATTTAGTTGTCATAATTTTGTTATTTATGTACGAATTGGATTCATATGTGGATAAAACCAGCCTTGTGACCAAACAGACATGTCGAATAATTTAGAAATGACCTTGACCTCTAAGTGACCTTGACTGTAAAATGAATGAATTTTGATTATATTTTCTTAACATTGTCATTTATTTATGGAAAGGATTCATACTTAAACAAAACTGTTGTGACTAGGCATAACTATTGAAATTAAAAACGGAAAACTGAACTTTTTGTGCCCCCATTATAGGGGGGTTGGCATTTAGACTTACCCTTGTATGCTCGTATTCATCTATTTTATCATTTTCAGTACTTTGAGTTAATGTATGATTGTTAGTTGAGTACATCTTAGTAGGAAATAATAGTTTGAGTGGACGTTTGAGCACTTTTCCCGATGGTATTTTTACCATTGCTGAGCGTACGTTTCCGTCTTGACTTTGGATTAAATCCACTATTCTCCCAAGTTTACAGTTTCCGCGAGGTAAATCCTCTTTTCATAATACTATATTTCCAACACATGGCTCAATATGTGATTGCACTCGACCCGTTTTAATTTTTGATTGAGTTCTTTCTCGAAGATTTAACAAATAGTCATTGCGCCATATAACCCAAAACATGTTGAGTAATTTCTGACCTTTTTTCCATATATTCATTAGGCGATCACTTGAATTGTAATGCGCTATAAAATCTGTATCTTTCTCGTCTATATGAGACTCTGGAATACCGATACTGGGGTTTAATGTTAAGAAATGACTTGGAGTTAATGCAATGTTTGAATTGACGTCATCGCCGACGTAAACTAGGGGTCTTGAGTTCACAACCGCTTCGGCCTCTTTAACAAATGTTTGTAATTGAATTAATGTTAGAAGCCGTCGGCCTAATGTTTTCCGAAACACCCTTTTTACTAAACCTACAAGTCTTTCATAGAAACCTCCCATCCATGGAGCAAGTTCGGTAATAAAATTCCATTTGATACTGGAGTTTGACACATATGTTTGCACTTCTTCACTTTGAAGCATTTTGTACCAGATTTTTTCAATAACAGAGCATGCAGCTTTAAATTGTGACGCATTGTCACTCAATATTTGAACAGGGGTGCCTCTTTGAGAAATAAATCTTCGAAGACATAGTAGAAATTCTTCTGTAGACATATCCATCACTATTTCAAGATGAATAGCTCGTGTTACAAAACAGGTGAATAAACATATCCACACTTTTGATTGTCCCTTATCAGATTTGATATAAAGTGGTCCTAAATAATCAAGTCCTACACGTGAAAAGGGTTTACATTCCGTGACTCTCGATGTAGGTAGTGGTGGCATTTGTGGCATCTTATATGGCGTTTTCTAATCTACCTTTACATCGCAATAAACCTTTTTCATCAATAAAGAGACCTAACTGAATCTGCAAATTGTTTTTCTTTTCATTTTTAATGGCATCATATACACACGCAAAATGTTTTCTTTGAACATGTTTTAACCAAATTTCTTCTGCCTCTTTAAGCTCAACGTATTTTAAGCTTTTACTTTCACAAGGCAATTTGCGTAGTTTTCGTATAAATCTTACAGCTAATGCTGTCACTCTTAACAGTTTTGTAAGTGAAGAAAACTTTGCAATGTCAATTTCAAAAGGTGACGAAAGAACACTTAAGTCATTATTTTCTTTTTCAGAAACAGTCATAACTTTTTCTGAATTGTCGTTTTCATATTTATCACAAATATCACTATCATTGTTGAAACTTATCCACATGTCTTCTGGCTCTTGTAACCATAATGGACCATGCCACCACAGTTTGCAATCGCTAATTGTTTTTTACCGAACAGCCTCTTGATGCTATATCTGCTGGGATTTGGTTGCCTAACACATGTTCAAATTTTATACCTTCGTCTGATTTTATCTCACTAATTCTGTTTTTTACAAACACTGGTAATTCTTTCTTACTTTGGATCCAGTGAAGAACACACTTAGAATCTGTCCATAAGTATTTTTCTTTGATGTTTAACTGTAGCTGATTACTCACGAATTTCAAACAGCGTACTCCTATCAAAACTGCCATTAATTCTAACCTTGGGATAGTTATTTCTTTCAAAGGCGCAAGCCTACTTTTAGCAAACACTAAATCAACTTTTGTTTCTAATTTGCTTTTCTGATGTAAATATATTGCCGTAGCATATGCTTTTGTCGAAGCATCACAAAAACACAACAATCTGTATTCTGTATCTTCGTCGTATTTCTGCAGTGAAACAGATCGAGGTATTTTAAAATCAGAAATCGATTTTATATCACTTTTCACAGTTGACCAAATTTCACAAATGTCATCATCCTCTATTAAATCATCCCAATCATATTGATTGCAGAAGGGTCTTTCCTTCCAGCACAACTGGACACAACAATCCTAGAGGATCGAAAACAGATGCAATCTGCTTTAAAATCATACGTTTTGTCAAAATGCTTTCATCACTCGACACAGATGATTCATTTAGAGTAAGTGAGTCGTTTTTTGTATCCCATGTATGCCCGAGTACTTTGATAGAGATACTTTTTGTTTGGTCTGTTGTCGGAATCATTTCATTTAATTGAGAACTATTTGATGCCCATTCTCTCAGATTCATAGATGCATTAGCAAAGATTCTTTTACTAGTCTTGTACAAATTATATAAACTTGGTTGAAAAATTCCCTCGAACTTTCAACTGTTATAGGCTGGAGTTAAATTTATCATCATATTGTAATGTAGATCAATCACTTCTTGTATATTCCCGAAACGTTCTTTCAAGATATCAATTGCCAACATGTAATTTTCGTCAGAAAGAGCGAGACCCATTACAGCACGTTTTGCCTCTCCGTACAGCTTCTTTCTCAAATATGTGAATTTCTCAATATTTGACAGCGATTTATTCTTATGTATTGTGCACTCATACGAGTCCCAAAATTCCAACCATTTAAGCTTATCACCATTATATGATAGCAAGTCTAACTTTGGCAACTTTACCGATGATCGCATCGCTTCTTTTTTCTCGTTCATTTCTAGAATTGCCTGTTGTTGTTTCATTTGACTAACAACAATATTTTGCATATCATGCTGTAGTTCTAAAATTTGATGTGCACTTACCGTTTCACTTTTATGTTTTGCATCAACAAATTTCTCCTTCAATTTGTTAAGAGAGAAACACATATCCACAACTCCTTCACAAATTGTGCAATCTTCATCAAGAATAGATTTTATCAACTCGTCATCTTTTTCACTAAGTACACATATCAATTTATCCGTTTGATTTTCAAGTTTTTCACGGAAAACATTCATTTTCTCAACACATTTTTCAGCACGATTAATATATTCCTCTTTGTCACTAAAATCAATATCACTTTCCAAAATCACTTGCGCATTTTTAATTTCCGTTTTTAAGATGTTGAGATATCTAGTCCGCACACCTTTCAGGTACGTGATGTTCGCCATTTTGAATCACTGAATGAATTTCCGACAATTTTTTTTACACTTTTGAATTTAATTCCATATTTTAGGACTTAATTATTTTCGATATTCTATCCGGTTCGCGGGACCATCTATGTAGCAATCTTTACTACGCTGGAATTAAAATAACTCTTTTTCCTCCTTTAAACTTTTATTTCTTTAATTTTTCAACATAATAATCCTTTACTTTTAACGAACTAAAACGAACTAACAAAAACAAGATAACAATTCCTTTTATATACCACGTATTGCACGTAAAAATCATGAAAATCATGTAAATATAATTAAACATAAACCCGCCGGTGACAAACCCGGCGGTTGCAACAAATACCCGGCGGTCACAACAATTTAGTGCCAAGCCGGCGGATAATAACAAAATAAACAATAATATCATCGCGTTCTTCGCGACAGTCAGCCAGTCTGTCCGTTCTCATGTAGTGTCGCACGTAGCTCAAAAAGTATTTGACCTAGAGTAATGAAACTCTACAGAAATGTAAGTCAGTATGTGAAGTTGTGCACCTAAGTTTTTGCGTGTTGATTTATTTAGTAATTGTAGAGTTATTTTCCTTTAGAGTTAATGCCCTTGACTTAGTAACAATTTGCAATTTTCAACTTGCGTCGCAAAAAGTATTTGACCTAGAGTCATGAAAGCTTACATGAATGTTGATCAGCATGTGAAGTGCATGCGTGTGTGTGTGTCCGTGCGTGTGTGTGTGCGTGTGTGTGCATGCGGATTCATTTAATTAACACTTGTTGAATTTTAGTTACAAATTACGATATTGTTGCCCCTTAAGTGATGAGATTGTTTCTTTGTACGAAGAAAAAACGTCCTACGGAAAATGACCTCATATGTGACGTCATTTGCCCATCATAACGTGCAGTCGCTTTTTTCGTGAATATGAGACAGTAATGAATGCAGCGGCCATTATTAGTTGATAAATACTACAATGAAACAAAGAACTTTTATGTAATATATAAGTTTCTGTATGGAACTTTAATTCAATTTTTTTTAATCTTTTCAGTTGGTATGTTCATTGAAAATATTTTCAAAAGAAATCTTGCCTAACCTACTCTGGTTTCAAGTTTTAAATATATGCCTATATATGTAAAAAAGAGCAGTAATGATTTACTACAGTGAACATTTAATTCAAAAATAAGATGTATTAGATCTGATATTATCTCGAGTTGTGTTTTTTTTCTTTCTGCTGGCTGTAACCAGGTTAATATACGTACCTACTGTAACTAAAATTTTACCATGGTTGACTGCAATGATTACATGAATTTCTTCTATTTGATTAATTACACTAGATTTAAGTGGTTTTATATATTATTATGTGCTTTTTGTGCTTTGGGAATGAGATGTGAATTATTGAGCGTGTTGTTGATTTTTTTGCCAAGACGTTAACCCTTTACCCTATTAAAGCAGCACGCCTCCAGATTCATATTATTTTCGTGAAAACTTAAGAAATGTATATGAAAGTAAAATAGTGTGAGGTGAACAAAAATAGTTATTTACATATTGCAATCGGCACTTACAATCCAACAAAACTACCAAAAGGTGGTCAAAGTATGCAAAAGCAGTCCTTAATATATGATGATAAAATATCGTAAAATCAATCATAAACCGCATATTACTTATTAAAATATAACTTGGATCTTTTATGATTTTACCTTTCTTAAAATTTTAGTATATTTTTCTCAATATTGATTTTCTTGACTTTTATTTTACTCATCTGGAGGCGTGCAGCGCTAAATATCTTTAATTGACTCGTCTATCTTTCTATATGGGCAAACAATTTATAATTGTTAGTGATATTATAGGTAAACTAAAAGGTATAATATGTCTCATAAATCTAAAAAAATTTAATTATTTAAAACTGTCAAACATGTGTTTAATAATGTTTACTAGTATATAATTGATTAACTATTTGTTAGATGTTATATAACTGGAAAAAAAGTATCTTTGCACGTGCAGCTATGTGTCGTACAGGTAGCAAAATGTAGACAAAGTTATTGTAGTATTTTGAATTCCATACAAAAAAGCTAATTCACTATAATTATACCATTTGCCAACATAACTTAAGATGCAAAAGACACTTCATGTATATAAAAAATGAAAATGCTTTTGGAAACTGTAACAAGATACCAAACATAACCAGTTTTCGAGAAATAAAAATAATAACATTTCTGCATAATGAGCCTTTAATATTTTATATTTTGTGGGGAGGCATTTAGAACTTGTTACAAAGTTATGCATACTTTACTACATGTATATATGATTTAAAACAGGTGTGATATGACCAAAATAAATCATTCGGAAAATAAGGCGTTAAACGGGGAGTTAAAAATTAATTTTGCAGTGTTTTTATGATTTTCAACTTTTTTTCTCCAATTTTGCGCCAATGCACACGTTTCACATCATAAACTGCATTCAATTAAAATCTCGCATGTTCATGTGTACCACATAATACATTATTTCCTAATTTACACTTTTACTGGGATTTTTTAAAAGTGTATTTAAAGTTATTTAACGTATTTTACATCCATACACCCTTGGAGGGTTAACGACCGTATCTTTGCAACAATCAATTTATTCAGCAATAAGGTCGCCTTGATAAATAGGTTCTCATCTTACCGTGGTACATTCCTTTAATTCAACCCTACTCTCATTTTTCTATTCAATGAATAAACATAAAAGCTTCGGGTAGCGAAGACTGTTATACCCCGGTCACATATTCACGGAAAACGCCCACGGAAGAGCCACGGATTAATTCCGGCATCGTCCGTAGCTACCCGTACTGGTCAGTAGCTCTCCGTATTGTAACCGTAATCAATCGTAGTAGTCCTTGTATATCCGTAGC